AATTCTTTTTAATTAGGGAAATATTCCTCTGTGTATGTCTTGTCTAACTCTGTTATCAGTGATTGTAGTAGATTAAAAGACTTGAAATTTATATCTTTGTGGTGATATTAGCTAGCATTTATTGAAATATAAGCCAAGTAGTGTTCTAAGTGCTTCCATCATTTAATACAACAGTTTTATCAGATCAGTACTATTTTTATCTCCTTTGCTTTGGTTATTGATGTTGAAATTGAAGCATCACAGTTACTTCCTCTTACACATTAAGCATTAATTAAGTCGATGTTGCTAGAGTTTATTTTTGTATTTAAAGAGCCAATATTGACCTTTCAATAATGTTCCTAGAGTGTTTCATAATTTTTGCTACCCATATTCCCTTTTACTGCTGAGGCATTGAAATGTCTTTCTGAAGCTTCAACTCTTTAAAATCTGAAAGCACTATCACTATCCCTAACATCTAAAGCCATGGAATCCTGTAAGAGGTTAAAAAATTATTGGTTTAATGGAGATATTTGTAGTATACTGGAATTCCATAAAATCCAACTTGCTTAAGTTTCTACCAAATTGGAGAACAACAGTTCCACCAGAATTTTAATTTTTGAGTACTTGAAAGTAGATTGTTATCAGAATAAGGAGTAAGTGCATGATGTGAGCTTCACAAGTGATTTAAGAAAAAGTTCACAGTACAGTGTTTTGATTTTTATATGGAAAATTTGCTATTAAAAGTAAATATGATTTAAACTCAGCAATTTGGTGGTACTGTAAACTTGATATCTGATCTTACTTTAAAGATGTTTATAGTTGAATATTTTATTTTATTTTTTTGAAATATGTGTATTCCTCATGCACACACACCCACAAGAACACTTGGGGCAGTATTTGTAGTGTTCATAATGATTAAAACCTCAGGTTCTTGAGTCATTCAGAGCTGAGCAAAACTATTCTGCTTTATTTATTTATTTTTTGATATTTATTGATATAGCTTTGCCTGTCCTTTTGTTTTCAAATTTTAAAAATGACTTTCATTTAAATGTGCCTCTAATATATAGCATGGAGTTAGGTTTGCTTTCGGAGTCAATGTGAAAATCTCTTTTCATGTGAGTTGAATTCATTTATAATTTATTCATATGTCAAATAAGTTTCATCTTGGCTCTGTCATTATATATTATTTTATGTTTTCTGAGTTTTTCTCCCTTTTTATGAGAGAGTGAGAAAGAGAGGGAAAGAAAGAGAGACACAGGTAGGTATTTTTTATTTTTTGAAGAGGTTTTTTGTTTTTTGCTACAGGGCGTGTGTGCTCACCAGACAGACAGAGAGAGACAGAGAGACAGAAAGGGAGACATCACCCACCCTAAGGGATGGCCACACCGCAATCCCTTCTCCTCCATTCTCCTCTTGGGATCTTGGGCACGCATGCACACACACCTGGTGTGAGTTTTAAGCCACCGGGTCTGGGACGCGAACCTCGGTCGACTATGTGGGAATTCAGCGACATAGCCATTACGCTAACTGCTGGTCCCAACAGGTAGGTATTTTGACAAGGCCTTGCCATGTCATCATTATCCTGCTCCAACCTCCCAATTAATAAGTCCACACTGTGTTAAAGTTGTCCCAGGAACTGAACCTGGGCATCCCATGTGGCTTCCAGCCTCCTAAGCAGTGGTGCTAACTGTGAACCACTGCAACTAGGCAAGTTTTCCTTTTTAAAATAAATATAAATTTTAAGTTTTTCACTGTGTAATCTGTTTTTGTTTTGGGGGGTTCTTTTTGCCCTTTTTATTATGATATTTAGGAATATTTGTATTTTTATACTTGTATTTTTATTAGTTACTTTATATAGTATTCTTAGTTCTCTATTGGTTGCATTGGTCTATGAACAAAGGTAAAACTCTTCTAAATTTCCCCCTTCTCTCCATCATCACCTAATTTTAGTCAATAGTATTTATTTGTACTGTTATGTATTACACTTCTACTACTTTATTTGTGAGCTTTAAGGCTATGCTTTGACTCTCAATTATTACATCAGAGTCGCCAATAAGCTTATTAAACATCCTTCTTCCTTTCTCCCTTCTCCCAGTTTATGCTGTTTGCATTTATACAGTGTTTTGACCTATATTTACTTCTGTTTTACCACCCTTAATCTCCATCTGTTTTTGTCCTGATTTTTTAGTTAAGCATATTTAATGCTCACTCAAATTCTTAAATGGAGAAGTTATCTTTTAGTAGTTTTTCAATAAGGACTCATGGGAACAATACGGAGCATTATTCTTACCACATTTTTAGAGCTTTCTTGTTGCTTTACACTTGAAGGATAGTTTAGCAAGTTATAAAATTTTTGGCTCACAATTTTTTCCTTGAGTGTCTTACAGGGGTTGTGCACATGTCTTTGGGCATTATAATAATTCCCCTTTACCTGTGAGAGATACATTCCAAAACCCCCAATGAGGACTGGAAACTGTGGGTAGTATCAAACTCTATGTGTACTGTGTATTTGGTATGATAACCTAGATGACTACCAAGTCACTCATGGGCAGGTAGCATATATTAGCACAAGTATTCTGGACAAAGAAATGATTCCTGTTACAGGTAGGACAGTATAAGAGTTCATCATGCCACTCAGAACAGTGAGTAATTTGAAACTTAGTAATGATTTATTTTTTAATAATTATTTATTTTTAGAATTTTTCATTTAATTTTTTGTTTTGTTTTATTTTGTTTTGTTTTTGCTATAGCACATGTGCACTCTCCAGAGACAGGCAGAGAGAGAGAGAAAGAGGGAAAGTAAGAAATCACCCCCCCCAAGGGGAGATGGCCATGCCACAATCCATTCTCCTCCATTCTCGTCTCAGAAATTTGGGCATCCACACACATGCACACCTGGTGTGTTTTTCAAGCCACCAGGTCTGGAACTTGAACCATGCAGTTGGCCATGTGGAACTAGCCACTTTAACTATCATACCACAGGCTGGCCCCATTTAATATTTTCTAATCATGGTTGACCACAGATAACTGAAACTATGGAAAGTGAAACCTTAGATAAAGAAGAACTACTATAAATGTTACTGTGCAAATGCATAACACCAGCATGAATTTTTTGCCATCTGATAATTTGATTTTTTTCCCTTTTTAGCCAAAGGAGTCTCTTTATCTTGATAACTAGTAAATTTACTAGTATATATTGGTGTTGACTGTCTAGTTCAATTTTTCCTGATACATGTGTACCCTATTAATGTGTACTATAGATTCACATCTATTTTATTTGTACTGTAGATTCAAATCTATTTTATTTCAGAAAAGTTACCTTAATTATATCTTTAAATATCTGTTTTGTTTCATTATTTTGGTGTCCCTTTTTTGAGGGAGATCTTAGTTACATGTATGTTGAATCTTTCTGTATGTGTCTTTTGTATGTATTATTTTTCTCTTTAACCTTTTAAACACTTTTTCATTTGTTTGTTTCTGTTTTTAGTGACTCGTCGTCTGTTTTCTGCAATGTGTCATCTTTGTTCTCCTTTCAGTTTTTTCTTCATGTCTGTGATTTTTTTTTTTTTGGTTTATTCTTTTATTGCTTTGTTGTACCCTGCCATTTCTGCTTCCTCTATTCCTGTTGTCTATACATTTTTCTCCTTCACTCTTGTATGTCTGCTTTGAGGTCTTGATTGTAGTGGTGGTGAATTCATTGGTTTTCTTAAATTCATGCAAGAATGTTCAGTTAGAATCTTTATCTTCTCCATTGTAGTATTTTTCTGGTAAGCATTCCTTGACAGTTGCATAGTATGCTGCTTATTGCCCATTTCTATAATTTTTCTTATAGTATCCTTCAGTCAGTGTCATGCCAATTTCCTTTTTATTCCTTGTGGTTAAATGAATTGTATTTTTCTAAGTCTGTTTGCAGTAGGTCTGGGTAGGGCCAGAGTAGATTTCTAGATTTCTGCAACAGAGACAGTCTTTTTCATATGTAGCACTGGGATGTGTTTTCCTGGGTTGCCACAAGTCCAAAGTAAACTGAGTCTAGGAGGAGTTTTGCCACCAGTTCTGGACTTCCCATTCCTAGAATTTCAGCTAGAAAGCCCTAGCATGCCAGCATAAATCCCTTTCCTTACGGAGGTGTATTATTACTGTTGCTTTCTGAGATCTGCTGCTGTTGTGCCCTTATCACATGCCACACTATCTCTATGTCTGCTCCACCCAACGTAGATTATGTCTACCGTGTTTGATCTCAGCCCTGCTCTCAGGCATTTTAGAGTTTTATATTTTTACTTTTACCCTGGCTTGCTGAAAAAGGAATTTTGTGTGCTTTTTTCTCCTGTCACTATGCATATTTTCTAGGAATAATCATGTCCATAGCACTATCATGTTCATGCCAGAAAGTACAACACAAGGTTTTTGTTCAACTACATAATTATAATTCAGATAGCTGTATTGCCATTCATCTGTGCTCTAGTTGATTGTTTTAAAATGGAGACCAATTTTCCCATCTGATTAGTTTTTTTGAGATCCTTCCAAAAGCAGGATGTAGCCTCCAAAATATATTTTTTCTCTTTCAGTAGTTCCAAACTATTTCAGTTTTTAAACTATTTACTAATATAGTTAAGACATCCACCCTATTTCATTTGGCCACAGTAAGAGTATGTCATTGCAGTGAGTGGAAGAACTGAATCATCTTTGCTGCTTCAGTAGGGAGTATGAATGAAATGTGACATTAATACTACTCTATAGGCTCTGATCTATGGGCGACCTTGAAAACATCAAGGATCACCAGTGCCCTCCAAACACTGATAAATATTGTTATAAACTAGTTTCCTATGTTTACCAGTTCGTAAACTAGTGGCCATATTCCATAGCTGATGTATTTTATTTGGCCTTAGCACTATTTAAACTTTTTAAAAAGTAGTTGCCAAAATTTCAAAATTAGGGAGATTTCACAAACATGAGAACAAATCTCCATTTCCAGTGACCTTGGAGGAAGTAGAAATCTGACAGGGCTGAGCCCTCATTGCTACCTGCCACAGTTCACTGGAGCTCCAGGATGGCTGCACCCCGCCATGAGATCTGTGTTTGCTCCTTCACCCACTGTCCTACTTCCTCACTGGCTTCCATTAGGCCTGCTTTGCTCATTTTTATCACCTGCTTGGACCACAGAGACTTGAGGGTGTTCATCTGAAAAAAAAAAAAAATCCAAGTTAGAGTTATTAGCCTTTTTCTGTTAGGCATGTAATGGTTTTGCTTCTGTACACCTTAGTAGCACCTGAAACTAATGAACTCTATCATTGAAAACTAGATGTTTGTTAGTGATCTCAATAGCTGATTTCATGAAGCAGAGGCATTCATGGGAAGTGAACACTGTTAGCAAGAGCTGTGGTCACAAGGTTTTTTAAGTTTCATGCACCATATTACTAACCTGGTTAAATGTTTCCTGCTGTTCGTACACTTACTCGTCGGTAGAAAGTCTCATTTCTTCTTATGAATATAATCGTGTTAAATTGAGACTATTAAAAGTTAGTTATTTCTCTTTGCTATTTCATTTTTTAAAATAGAAGAAGTCAAATAATCCTAGTGGATTTCTGTTTATTTTTAAAGTATAGTACAGATAACTGCTAAATATTATTTTGAAGAGAAGTTACAAGGTTACACTTTTTCTAAAGGGTTAATAATAAATCTGATCAAATTTTGCTTGCAAAACAATTTGTAATGCATTAAACCTGAAGAAGCCATGTGACTCATGTATATAATACATACTTTACATATGCTGTTAATTAGAAGTTTGCATTATCTGATAGTTTAAAGGAAAATGCATTTGTAAATTTAAATATATAAAGATGTTTTTGGGTCAACAATGGTAGCACACACTGGTAGATGCTGCTACTTGGTTTAATGAAGTAACAGGGGAGGCCCAAGTTTTATTCCCAGCCTTTTGAAAGCTATGTACAGTGATGCACACTGATAGTCCCAGCTACTTAGTAGGCTGAGGCAAAAAAGTTGCTAGCCTGCAGCCAGTATGGGCAACACTGGAAGAGCTCGACGTGGTGATATGTCTCGCCCCAGTGACTCAGGAAGCTAAGGCAGGGTCTCAACATAGGAACACCTTTTTTTTTTTTTTTTTTTTAAATGATAGGGACCAGCAGTTGGCATAATGGCTATGTCGCTGGACTCCCATATTGTCGACTGTGGTTCAAATCTGGACCCAGTGGTTTAAACTCACACCAGGCGTGTGTGCGTTCATGCCCAAGATCCCGAGAGGAGAATGGAGGAGAAGGCATTGTGGCGTGGCCATTCCCCCTGGGGGGTGATTTATTGCTTTCTGTGTCTCTGTCTGTCTCTTTCTTTCTGGCGAGCACAAGCGCCCTATAGCAAAAACTTCTCCAAAAAAAAGATGTTTCTGAATTATCAAAGCACAAACTCTGTTTAGTATAGCTTTACTGTTAAGCATGTATGTATATGTACACTTTTAAATTGGGATATACAGTTAACATAAAATTTAGCATTTAAATATGTATAAATCAATGTTTTTTCATATATTCACGATTGTGTGTTTATTGATTTATCTATTTTGGACACTTCATGTAAATGGAATTATACAATATGTGATCTTTTATATCTGGCTTTTTTCACTTTCTGTAATGTTTCAATGTTCATCTGCATTTTGCCATGTGTCAGTACTTCATTCTTTTGTATGCTGAGTAATATTTCAGTCTATGAATAGACAGTATTTTGTTTAGACACTCATCAGTTGATAAACATTTGTGTTGTTTGGACTTTTGTGGTTGTTATGAATAATGTTGCTGTGAAGCTTCATGTACAAGTTTTTGTGTAAACATATGTTTTCAGTTATATTGGAACTAGGAGTCAAATTGCTAGATTTTATGGTAATTCTGTGGTTAACTTTTAAGAAACTGCCGAAATGTTTTCCATAGCAGCTGCAGTATTGTGCATTCCCACCACCTAGCTATGTAGGAGAGTTCTGATTTTTCTACAACCTCACTAATTGATGCTGGGACAACTGGCTATCCACATGTAATACCTGTTACTCACTAATACTTGTTATGTTCTCTCTCTTTTTTTTTTTTTCAATTGTAGTGGATATGAAATGACATATCATTGTAGTTTACATTTATATTTCTTTTTTTTTAAGATTTATTTTATTTAGTTTTATTTATTCATTCATTTATTTTAATTTGACCAGAGAGAGAGAGACAAAGAAAGAGAGAGAGAAAGTGAGAAAGCAAGCTACCAGGTCCAGGACTTGAACCGTGGTCAGCCATGTGGGAGTGTCCAGCACCTTAACCACTATGCCACCTGCTGGTCCCTAGATTTATATTTCTTCAATAACTAATATCTTTTCATGTGTTTATTGGCCATTTGTTTATCTTTGTTGAAATGTCTATCCACATTCTTTACTCATTTTTTAAGAGAATTATTTATTTAATTTTATTTATTTATTTACTTAAATTTGACCAGAGCAGGGGAAGGAGAGAGAGAGAGAAAGTGAGAAAGCAGGCTGAGAGAGAGATCAGGGGGGAGAGAGAGAGAGAGAGAGAAAGTGAGAAAGCAAGTTGCCAGGTCTGGAACTAGAACCGCAGTTGACTATGTGGGATTCCAGCACCCTTCACCACTCCACCTGCTGGCCCCCCCCTCCTTTTTTTCCCTTTGTTTGGAGAGGTTTTTGCTATAGGGCGCTTGTGCTTGCCAGAAAGACAGAGAGAGACAGAGAGACAGAAAGCAAGAAATCACCCCCCAGGAGGCATGGCCACACCACAATCCCTTCTCCTCCATTCTCCTCTCGGGATCTTGGGCACACACACACACACACACACACCCTGCATAAGTTTAAGCCTCCAGGTCCAGGACTCGAACCGCGGTTGACCACATGGGAGTCCAGCGACATAGCCATCACACCAACTGTTGGTCCCTTTTCCCCCATTTTTAAACAGGGTTATTTGTCCTTTTATCATTGAGTTGTGTTTCTAAATTCTGAATTCTAGACCCTATCTATTTTATCATTGGCTGCTTATGCTTTTAATGTCATTTCTAAGAACCATTGCTTAATCCAAGGTTGTAAAGATTTATACCTGTGTTTTCTTTAAGAGGTTAGCTTTTATATTTAGTTCTTTGATCCATTTTGAATTAATATGGTATAAAGTAAAAGTCGAAACTTCACTCCTTTACATGAGAATATCCATTTGTTTTGGCATAATTTGCTGAAAAGTCTGTTCTTTCCACATTGAATGATTTTGGCACCCTTGTTAAAAATCAATTGACCAGAGAGGTATAGATTTATTTCCATACTTCAATTCTGTTCCATTGAGCTATATGCTTCTCCTTATGTCAGTACCATACTACCTTGATTACTGTAGTTTTGTGGTAAATATTGAGTGCTAAGTATATTTTATTGTATTTTAATTCTTAAAAACTTACAATCCTTTTTGTTATTTATTATGACCTTAATAATGAGGCTAGTTCACACTCACATCCTAATTTAACACTGCCTTGGATTTAAAAGTGTTTACTGAATTAAACAGTTTCTCAGAATTAAAATACATAATTGGGTTAAAAGTTTCCTTAATAGCTCCATGTTGGAGAAATGTTTACTAATTATTTGTCTCATTAATTGTCTTAAAAATATGGTCATTAGGAGGTCACCCCATGGCATGGTGGTTAAAATGGCTAGACCCCACATGGCTGATGGTGTAGTTTGAATTCCAGACTTGGTGGTTTGAGAAACATGTCAGGCATTTGTGCGTGAATGCTCAGATCCCCAAAGGAGAGAGAGTAAGGGATTATAGCATGACCATTCACCACCAGAGGTACTTTTTCACTACACCCTGCATAAGTTTAAGCCTCCAGGTCCAGGACTCGAACCGCGGTTGACCACATGGGAGTCCAGCGACATAGCCATCACACCAACTGTTGGTCCCTTTTCCCCCATTTTTAAACAGGGTTATTTGTCCTTTTATCATTGAGTTGTGTTTCTAAATTCTGAATTCTAGACCCTATCTATTTTATCATTGGCTGCTTATGCTTTTAATGTCATTTCTAAGAACCATTGCTTAATCCAAGGTTGTAAAGATTTATACCTGTGTTTTCTTTAAGAGGTTAGCTTTTATATTTAGTTCTTTGATCCATTTTGAATTAATATGGTATAAAGTAAAAGTCGAAACTTCACTCCTTTACATGAGAATATCCATTTGTTTTGGCATAATTTGCTGAAAAGTCTGTTCTTTCCACATTGAATGATTTTGGCACCCTTGTTAAAAATCAATTGACCAGAGAGGTATAGATTTATTTCCATACTTCAATTCTGTTCCATTGAGCTATATGCTTCTCCTTATGTCAGTACCATACTACCTTGATTACTGTAGTTTTGTGGTAAATATTGAGTGCTAAGTATATTTTATTGTATTTTAATTCTTAAAAACTTACAATCCTTTTTGTTATTTATTATGACCTTAATAATGAGGCTAGTTCACACTCACATCCTAATTTAACACTGCCTTGGATTTAAAAGTGTTTACTGAATTAAACAGTTTCTCAGAATTAAAATACATAATTGGGTTAAAAGTTTCCTTAATAGCTCCATGTTGGAGAAATGTTTACTAATTATTTGTCTCATTAATTGTCTTAAAAATATGGTCATTAGGAGGTCACCCCATGGCATGGTGGTTAAAATGGCTAGACCCCACATGGCTGATGGTGTAGTTTGAATTCCAGACTTGGTGGTTTGAGAAACATGTCAGGCATTTGTGCGTGAATGCTCAGATCCCCAAAGGAGAGAGAGTAAGGGATTATAGCATGACCATTCACCACCAGAGGTACTTTTTCACTCTTTCTCTGGTGAGCACATACACACTCTGGCTAAAGTTTGCAAAAGAAAAGAAAGAAAAAAGGAATGGTAATATTTTTTGTTTACTCTCTCCAAACAAAACAGGACATCAGTGGTAGAAGTATCTTGGGAGATTGCTTGATCATTCAAATGTTCATTGGCTGCTACTGTCAATAAGCAAAGTTACTATATGTTAACAGTGCTAGGTCATGCGATTTAGCTTCATGCCTGTGAAAAGGACTTTTGGCATGATTTTTATTCTGATGGATGGTTTGGGGATAGTTGAGTTTAGTATGAGCTATGTGTTCAAAATGTACCTGTGAAAAGTTTTAGAAAAACA